ACAGGTTAGGTTAGGTGACTGAAGGTAAATCTAATGCATAATTTTCGACGTACTGAAGCAAGCAAGGAAGATGGATTAAAGAGAAGAGAAGAGAGTAGGAAGTTAAAGTAAAGGAGAGAGAAAATGAGAGAGAGACAGTGTGTGAAAGACAGTGTGTGAGTGCAAGAGAGACAGCGTGAGAGACAGTAAGACCGCGAGACACACTGAGGGCGGAAGTCGCTCTATTATGCTAACAAATTGAATTAATTGAAGTTGAATAAAAGTTAATGGCAGTAATAAGGAGGTCAAGAGATATGTATTTTTTAAAGTGTGTGTGTGTGTGTAGCCACACAAAGGGTGGTGACATGCGTCTCGAGTGGCAGCATTATGTTAGTGTTAAGGTAGTGTAGGTAGTAGGCACCTCCCAAACAGGGAGGTACTACCGCCTGGGAAGATATTGGAAGCATAATGTGTTGTCTAATGGTAGACCCTGCTGCCATATGTGACCAAGTCCCAGGTTGCTGATCTGACTTTCTGCCTCATTTACACACAATTGCAGGGTCTCAATTGTTTCTCTTACTATTGACAACACAACATACATATATTGTTTCTCACTCTTGATCTTTTTTCCCATTTTGTATTTCTTTGTGGTTCTTTATTATTATTATTATTATTATTATTATTATTATTATGATTATTATTATTAATACATTTTCGCCCCCCAGGCCCCGATGTGGGTCAGTGACCTGTGCCCAGGTGGGCTAATCCCTGAAAAATAAAAACACTGCTTGCTCCGTCTAGCTTTCAGCTGCCGCCGCTGGCTAGCCCTCGTGGCGAACAGGGAAGCAACTTGCATAAGCCTTTGCAAACGACCTCAACCTTGTCGCTCACACTGAACACGACCTACAGGAGATCCCGAACACCTACACAGACGCGTATGCACACTTCGGCCTTGAGGTGAATTTACGTAAGACTCAGATTCTCTTTCAACCTGATCCTGGTTCAGCCACACCTCCACCATCCATCCTGCTTAACGGTATACTACCCTCAACAATGTTACCCACTTTCGGTATCTCGGTTCCCACCTGTCCACCATCGCAGACATCGATGAAGAGATTCAGCATCGGATCAGATGTGCATCTCAAGCCTTTGGCAGACTCAAATCGTGTCTTCAGCTGTAGGGAACTGAAATTATCTACAAAGTTACCCGTATATCGAGCAGTGGTCCTCCCCACCCTGCTATACGGCAGCGAGACATGGGTCACATACAGGAGGCACCTCAAGGCACTTGAAGACTTTCACCAACGTAGTCTACATTCCATCCTCCGAGTTCGCTGGGAAGATAAGAGAACAAATGCCAGTATTCTTGCTGACACCAACTGTAGGAGCATCGAGGCTACCATTATCCATGAACAACTACGGTGACCGGCCATGTTACCCGCATGGACGACAGTAGACTGCCAAAGCAGCTACTTTACAGTCACCTAACGAATAGTAAACGTAACGCTGCTGGGCAATTGAAAAGACACAAGGATAGTCTTAAGACAAACCTGAAAAAGTGCCAAATCGACCCCCTCACCTGGGAGTCGATTACTCCACATCGTAACGCTTGGAAGAGCACCGCACGAGGTGCAAATACTTTCGAGTTAGCCCGACTGCAAACCGAGGCAGACAAGCGCCAACGCCGGAAAGACGCTGCCACAGCCCCTCCCACAGTAGATGGAGCCCTCCACATGTGCAACGAATGTGAACGACGCTGCGGGTCCCGTATCGGGCTCTTTAGTCACCTCAAAACTCACTAACCTAAGTGACATCCCCAATACCCATCATTGTATCATAGCTGGATGATCGTCATACTGATTCCAGGACAGCAATTTAGTGTGTGTGTGTGTGTGTGTGTGTGTGTGTGTGTGTGTGTGTGTGTGTGTGTGTGTGTGTGTGTGTGTGTGTGTGTGTGTGTGTGTGTGTGTGAAGACAAACTGGGAGTAAATAAAGGACATGAGAAAATAATAAAATGTAAATGATCTTGTACTGTGGGAAAGAGGATGGAAAAACTAGAGGGAAAAACAGAAAAATAAACCCAATCATCTTTCCTGGCCTAAATATCCTTTGGTGAAAGACCTAAAGAGAGAGAGAGAGAGAGAGAGAGAGAGAGAGAGAGAGAGAGAGAGAGAGAGAGAGAGAGAGAGAGAGAGAATTTCCTCATAAGACTCTGAAAACCTGGAGGGCGGTATAAAAGATTGTACGCGTAAGGAGAGAAAGGCTCATATTGGCATATATTTACATATTTATTCCTTTCAAACACACACACACACACACACACACACACACACACACATTCTTAGCTGCTTGGTTCAATCCCCTCACACAGCCAGGCCAGTCCCGTCATTAAGGTAAGGGACCATAAGGCAGTGTTTCCCCTTGCTCACTCCACCTACACTATCGCTTCTACAAATTCAGCTAAAATAATTTTGTTTTTTCCTTTTAACGTCAACTTAAAGAAATAAGATACACGGAGTCTGTCGCTGAGGAATAAAAACAAAAATATATATTGACTTTCATACATAAATACATAATTATATACATATACACGAAGAAGGAGGAAAGAAAGGAATTTAACTCGAATCCAACATCCTTACCTATACGAACGAGGGGGAAAAAATCACCCCTAAAGGAAAAAACAGAAAAGTCCCGTTCAACTAAAAGTCCGACATCCGATGGCCAAAGAGCCCTAAGTAGAGAGCCTTTTTCAGCAACTATTCCAACAAAAAAAAAATAAAAAAATAAATAAAAAATAAAATAAAAATACTAATAGTCGTAGGCTAGTTTGGGGGGTGGGGAGGAGGTTGGGGGTAGGGGAGGTTGGGGGGTAGGGGAGGTTTGGGGGGAGGGGAGGTTGGGGGTAGGGGAGGTTGGGGGTAGGGAGGTTGGGTGGGAGGGAGGTTGGGGGGTAGGGGAGGTTGGGGGTAGGAGGTTGGGGGAGGAGGCAGGGGAGGAGGTTGGGTAGGGGAGGTTGGGGGTAGGGGAGATATGAGTGATAGGGGTAGGGAGGTTGGGGAGGAGGTTGAGGTAAGGAGGAGGGTAATAAAGGGAGGTTGGGGGGGAGGAGGTTAGGAAGGGAGGTTATAGGATAGGGGGTAGGAGGTCAGGTAGAATGTAAAGAGATGAGGTAGGAGGTGGGAGAGAGGTGGAGGTTGGGAGAGAGGAGGTAGAGGATATTGTAGGGAGGTTAAATAAGGAGATAAAGAGAGATTCAGGTGAGATATCAGGATTGCAGAGGTGGGCAGAGGTAGGGGAGTGGGGGGAGGGGAGGGAGAGAGGCTGGGGGAGGTTGGGGGGTAGGGGAGGTTGGGGGAGGGGAGGTTGGGGGTAGGGGAGGTTGGGGGCAGGGAGGTTAGGGGGTCAGGGAGGTGGGGGGGTAGGGGAGGGGGGGGTAGGGAGGTTGGGGGGGCAGGGGAGGTTGGGGGGTAGAGAGGTTGGGGGGTAGAAGCTGGGGGTAGGGAGGTTGGGGGTAGGGGAGGCTGGGGTGGGAGGGAGGCTGGGTGAGGGAGGCTGGAGGGGGGAGGAGGTTGGGGGTAGGGAGGTTGGGGGGTAGAGGTTAGGGGTAGGGGAGGCTGGGGGGTAGGGAGGTTGGGGGGGTGGGAGGGGAGGTTGGGTGGGAGGAGGTTGGGTGAGGAGGTTGGGGGGGGGTAGGGAAGGGAAGTCGAGAACCAGGTGTATAATAGGATTTGATAGATAGATGAGATGGATAGGAGAGATAGACAAATAGGTTGAGAGGACAAATAGATAAACAGATGAATGGATGAGTGACTGGTGGATGAGTTTCAGGTATACGAGTGACCGGTGGGTGACTGATGCATGAGTGATTGATGTATGAGTGACTGAGTGACCTGATGTATGGGGTAACTGGTGTAGGAGTGACTGTGAGTGACTGGTGGATGAGTTACTGCAAACTAAGGTAACTTTTCAGTGTAATCAGACACTTAAAAGGAATTCTCTTGGGACGGAAATAGCTAATTGGGGAAGAGAGAGAGAGAGAGAGAGAGAGAGAGAGAGAGAGAGAGAGAGAGAGAGAGAGAGAGAGAGAGAGAGAGAGAGAGAATACTCCATTAATATATTACAATGAAAACATTCTTAGATAACATTAACATAAGTGGAGGCAAACTGACAGCACTGACACGAGAGGCTGACAGCTAAACTGACTCTAATGGCAGCTTTATACAGAATACTAACAGCTTAAAGGTATCATTTTGACAGATTTACAACCACCTGCTGTCAGCATTTAACTCTACAACAGCAAGTTTGAATCATTAAGCTCACACAAGATTATTCTAACTCAACCTAACCCAACCCAAACCTAACCCAACCTAACCCAACCCAACCCAACCTAACCTAACCTAACCTAACCTAACAACCAAACGCTTGCCTCACGGGCCCTCATCTCTAACTTGTCAATATCCCGAGAATTATGGATATGGATGTTTCATTGTCACGCCTGGGGATAACACTGCGCCTAGCACCCACAACAGTAGCGCCATCACAACAGAAGCGCCATCACAACAGTAGCGCCATAACAACAGTAGCGCCATCACAACAGTAGCGCCATCACAACAGTACCGCCATCATAACAGTAGTCATCAACAGCAATTCATAACAACAGTAGCGCCATCACAACAGTAGCGTCATAACAACAGTACCGCCATAACAACAGTAGCGCCATCATAACAGTAGCGCCATAACAACAGTACCGCCATAACAACAGAAGCGCCATCATAACAGTAGCGTCATAACAACATACCGCCATAACAACAGTAGCGCCATCATAACAGTAGCGCCATAACAACAGTACCGCCATAACAACAGTAGCGCCATCATAACAGTAGCGCCATCACAACAGTACCGCCATCATAACAGTACATAACAACAGTAGCGCCATAACAACAGTACCGCCATCACAACAGTAGCACAATAACACCAACGTCACAATACTAAAAGCGTATCAGTACACCACAACACAACAGAAGCACCACAAAGACGCACCACAACAGAAGCACCACAGAAGCACCACAACAGAAGCACCACAACAGAAGCACTACAACAGACACAACAGAAGCACACAACAGAAGCACCACAACAGAAGCACCATACAAAGCACCACAAGAAGCACTACAACAGAAGCAATCCACAACAGAAGCACTACAACAGAAGCAATACAACAGAAGCACCACAACAGAAGCACTACAACAGAAGCACTACAACAGAAGCAACTACAACAGAAGCACCACAACAGAAGAATACAACAGAAGTACACAACAGAAGCACCACAACAGAAGAACCACAAGAAGCACCACAACAGAAGCACCTAAAAGACACCACAACAGAAGTACTACAAAAAGCACCACAACAGAAGCACACAACAAGACACCACAACAGAAGAACCACAAAGAAGCACCACAACAAGCACCACAACAAAAGCACACCACAACAGAAGCACCACAACAGAAGCACCACAACAGAAGAACCACAAAAGAAGCACTACAACAAGCACCACAACAGAAGCACCATAACAGAAGAACCAAAAGAAGCACCACAACAAGCACCACAACAGAAGCACACCACAACAAGCACTATAACAAGCACCACAACAGAAGGTGGAAGAAGAGCGACAGAGCAAGAGAAGCAACAGGAGACTTATAAGAACGAGATGGACCACTGAATCAATAGTGGCTCAGGGAGGGGGTGTGACTCAGGGAGGTGTGACTTAGGGGAGGTGTGGCTCAGGGAGGTGTGACTTGGGGAGGTGTGACTTAGAGGAGGTGTGGCTTAGGGGAGGTGTGGCTCAGGGGAGGTGGCTCCAGGGAGGTGTGACTCAGGGAGGTGTGGCTCAGGAGGTGTGTGGCTCAGGAGGTGTGACTCAGGGAGGTGTGGCTCAGGAGGTGTGACTCGGGGAGGTGTGGCTCAGGAGGTGTGGCTCAGGGGAGGTGTGGCTCAGGGGAGGTGTGGCTCAGGGAGAGTGTGGCTCAGGGAGGTGTGACTCAGGAGGTGTGACTCAGGGAGGTGTGGCGCAGGAGGTGTGGCCAGGGAGGTGTGGCTCAGGGAGGTGTGGCTCAGGGAGGTGTGACTCAGGGAGGTGTGGCCAGGAGGTGTGGCTCCCAGGAGGTGTGGCTCAGGGAAGTGTGACTCAGGAGAGGTGTGACTCAGGAGGTGTGGCGCAGGAGGTGTGTGGCTCAGGAGGTGTGGCTCAGGAGGTGTGGCTCAGGGAGGTGTGACTCAGGGAGGTGTGGCTCAGGGAGGTGTGGCTCAGGGGAGGTGTGGCTCAGGGAGGTGTGACTCAGGAGGTGTGGCTCAGGAGGTGTGACTCAGGGGAGGTGTGACTCAGGGGAGGTGTGGCGCAGGAGGTGTGGCTCAGGGAGGTGTGGCTCAGGAGGTGTGACTCAGAGGTGTGGCTCAGGGGAGGTGTGGCTCAGGGAGGTGTGGCTCAGGGGTGGCTCAGGGAGGTGTGACTCAGGGAGGTGTGGCTCAGGGAGGTGTGACTCAGGGAGGTGTGGCTCAGGAGGGTGTGGCTCAGGGAGGTGTGACTCAGGAGGTGTGGCTCAGGGAGGTGTAACTCAGGAGGTGACTTAGGGAGGTGTGACTCAGGGAGGTGTGACTCAGGAGGTGTAAGGGAGGTGTGGCTCAGGAGGTGTGGCTCAGTGAGGTGGCGCATGGGAGGTGTGGCTGGTGTAGAGACCTCCGCTGTGTGGGGAGGAGGAAGAAACAAGTCCTCTTAGGGTGTTATTAGTTTACACACACACACACACACACACACACACACACACACACACACACACACACACACACACACACACACACTAGTCAAAGTTTGTAAACCAGTGCTCTGTCCTTCCTCTCCTCCTCCCTCCCCCGCTTTATACCTCACCTTTGCTCTTAACGATTCCTGACGTAGAGGTACAACAGGTAGAGACTCAGGTGTTATTCTAATGTTTGATTGTATATTAAATCAACGAAAATTTGACTTGAAAATTATATGGCCTCGATGTGTGTGTGTGTGTGTGTGTGTGTGTGTGTAAAGGTATGAAGACCGAGTATGGCCTTATTTTGTTAGGTCATTGTTTGGTGCGTGGTAGTTAGTGTGGGTGGTAGTTAGTGTGGTGGTAGTTAGGGCTGGTGGTAGTTAGTGTAGTGGTAGTTAGTATGGGTGGTTAGTCATTGCTGATGGTAGTGCTAATGGTAGTTAGTGTGGTGGTAGTTATGTGTGGTAGTTAGTGTGGGTGGTAGTTAGTGTGGGTGGTAGTCAGTGTGGTGGTGTTAGTGTGTTGGTTAGTCATTGCTGATGGTAATGCTAATGGTAGTTAGTGTGGGTGGTAGTTGGTGTGTGGTAGTTGGTGTGGGTGGTAGTCAGTGTGGGTGGTAGTTAGTGTGGGTGGTAGTTAGTGTGGGTGGTTAGTCATTGCTGATGGTAGTGCTAATGGTAGTTAGTGTGGTGGTAGTTAGTGTAGGTGGTAGTTAGTGTGGTGGTTAGTCATTGCTGATGGTAGTGTTATTGATGATGGTAGTAAGGATTGGTGGTAGTTAGTATAGGTGGTAGTTAGTGTGGGTGGTAGTTAGTGTGGGTGGTAGTTAGTGTGGGTGGTAGTTAGTGTGGGTGGTAGTTAGTGTGGGTGGTAAGTTAACAAGCTATAGAGGAGGAACTTGTGTTTTTACCCCACAAATTCTGGAAACGTCACAACCAGATGTGACTTTTAGCTCAAAACTTTCCCTGAAGCGAGAGAAACTTACGAGGTGCTTTACTTGGTCTCATTATAGAATACACACCGACCTCTGGCACTGAGCTCTGTGAGACACTCGGACATACACTCACACCTTGTTGGAGGCACTCAACTCTCTCCGTGTTGTTGTCAGAGGTAAGGATTCAGGAAGGACTAGCCAATTGTTGAGGCACTCGGGTTGATGTCAGATACACTCAGAAGTTTTGCTGTGTTGTTTTGAGACACTTGGGTGAGCTCTGTGCTGTTATCAGAGGGACTTAGGAAGGACTGGGCCGTTTATAAGACACTCAGGGTGATGTTAAGAGACACTAGACGCGAACTGGCGAGAGGGCGAGGCTAATAATATATCGCCATGTCATATATAATTTTTTTCTCCAGAGCTAGCAGGCTCACATCTGTGTGTGTGTGTGGAAGGGGTGGGGTCTGGGTGGGGTGGGGTGGGGGGTGGGGTGTGGGGAAGGGTGGGGTCTTGGGGGTCTGGGTACAAGGGGTGGGGTGGGGTGGGGATGGGTAAAGGATAGAAACCACGAGGACGGAGGATTTAACCTGAAGACGGGCGGAAGTAATGCGAGAACAACAGATTTAACGTGAAGACAACAAGAGATGTAACGTGAAGACAACAGATTTAACACGAGTACAACAGATACTCGTATATATTCCAAAGTTTAAATCCCTCTTATAATCTGTAGTTAAAAAGGGGGATATTTAAACCACATTACAGTCTCAGTATCAATCCAGCGCCATTTTGTTCACCATCTTGAGTTACATCTTCATGGATCCATTTACATACGGGGTCACACTACTAGTTCCGGGTTTGTTTATAAATGAGTCAACTAACTACGGGTTCGGGGTTCGAGATTCGGGGTTCGGGGTTCGAGATTCGGGGTTCGGGGTTCGAGATTCGGGGTTCGGGGTTCGGGGTTCGGGGTTCGAGGTTCGGTGTCCATTCGAATCCCTTTGGCTCACTATCTCGGTGTTGCTTCAAGTGAGACAATTTACATACGTTTTACTCATCAACTTTTGTGACTTCGAAAGCAAAGTCGTTTTTTTACCTCACACGAAAGCTAAGACAAGCCACGACTTTTATACCATCAACATTAGAGAGAGAGAGAGAGAGAGAGAGAGAGAGAGGTGGGAAGTGAGGGAGGAGGAGGGAAGGAAGGCAAAAAGAAATAGGAAAACAAAAATGGAGATAGAAGCAAAATGAGATAAGTGAAGGGGAAGGACAGAAAGAGAGATAAAGGGATAGAAGAGGAAGAAGACGAAGAAGAGAGACAGAATAAAAGGGAAAAAGAATTGAAAAACATGAAGAGAGAGAGAGAGAGAGATTCAATACTTGCCATCCCAGAGGCTGCCGACTCACCTGAAATGAATGAAGAGTAAATGTTAATAATAATAATAATAATAATAATAATAATAATAATAATAACTATAATAATAATAATAATACTAATAATAATAATAATATTAATAATAATAACTATAATAATAATAATAATAATAATACTAATAATAATACTAATAATAACAAATCACGATGAAATTTGCCTGAGTGACATAAACTGACCTTGCTGTTGGACTAAATATCTCCCCTTACTTGCCTCTCCCCTCAGTGTACTCCATCTCTTAATGTCTCTTCCCTCACCTCACTCCTACCCTCAAGAGACTTTTCCCCTCACCCCTCATCCCACACTTAGTAACCTCCCCTCACTCAACGCTGTAACATTATGACCTGTTAATAGATATCACCTCCAGCAGACAACAGCCTCCAGCAGACATCACCTCCAACAGACAACACCTCCAGCAGACAACGCCTCCAGCAGACAACGCCTCCAGCAGACACCACCCAACAGACAACACCCAGCAGACACGCCCAGCAGACACCACCCAACAGACACCACCTCCAGCAGACACCACTCCAGCAGACACCATCTCCAGCAGACACCACCTGCAGACACCTCACCTCCAGCAGACAATCCCCCAGTAGACCTCCACCTGTGCAGACAACACTCCAGCAGACATCAGATAGCCTAAAACCAATAACCTATTTACGTTTCCTCAACATCAGGCCCTGTCCCATCCTCCTCCTCTCCTCTCCTCCTCCCCCTTCCTCCCTCTTCCTCCTCTCCCTCTTCCTCCCTCTCCTCCTCTCTCTTCCTCCTTCTCTCTTCTCCCTCCTCTCTTCCTCCTCCCTCTTCCCTCCCCTCTCTCTCTTCCCTCCCTCACCCTCTCCCTCCCTCTTCCCTCCCCTCACCTCCCTCCCCTACCCTTTCCTCCCTCTCCTCACCCTCTTCCTCTCTCCTCCTCCTCCTCTTTCTCCCCTCTCCTCCTCCCACCACTCAACCATATTTCAGCAGCATGTCTCCTTGTTCTTCACACTTTGCCCTTAATCCTCCCACACACACACACACACACACACACACACACATACACACACACACACACACACACACACACACACACACACACACACACACACTTAAATTCCTCTTCAATATGTTGTAGCTGATATACAGTATCTATATACACAATCTAGTTACTAAATTCTGTCTTCTTTCTTTCTTTCTTTCTTTCTTTCTTTCTTTCACCCACCCCCCCATATATTGTTCCTCCTGTCAATAGAGTGGATTTTCTCTCTCTCTCTCCACCACACCACATCCCATCACACCACACCATCACACCACACCATCACACCATCACACCACACCCCTTCTCAGACAAACACGTCCGCAATATTAAAAGTTACTCTCCTTCCACCTTTAACATTATACCTATATCACTGTATCACTCTGGTATGTTAATTAAATTCCACGACCTAAGCCTGTACATGTGCCCCTATTGCACTCAGCGTCTTTTACCTTCTTTCACTCACACTTCATCTTTAACAAAATGTCTCCATCACCTGAAGAATCACCACCCCAGCTTATTTCACCTCAAGATTAACCAC